TTGTTGATGTTGCTTCATTATTTGCAATTAAATCGTGATATATACTGTTCGTTTCTTTGTCATGCACTGCTTGATCAACTTGTTCTCTAACCGCCACCGGCAGACTTTCAGTCAACACCGCATTTTCCATATTGCCTACAAAATAACGAGAACGTTAGCAGTAGATAAGGTGGTTTTAAGCAGCTCACCATAATAGTATACCACGGATAAACTTGGGTTTTTCTGAAAAATTGCCACTCGTCGATAAAACTTTGATGCATTTGGACCATTTTTTGATTCTTTTTTTTCCGATGCATAATACTCCGCTTTAAACACGGTTTCTGTTGTTTTAAGTGTTTTTCCATCAACTTCTTTTTCTATGTGGGTTACCAAATCGCTGTTTCCGTAATTCCGCCAAACGAAATTATCTTTCCAAACAGCTAAAAGTGAAAGAATGCAGAATTTTTTATTGAAAGGGATTTCCACGAACTCACTGTAATACATACAACGAGATCCGTCAGCAGAATGTAATAAATATAACGTAACTCACCCTCATATAGAGATATTGACTGGTAATTTATCCAACTTCGGACCGGTCTGGACATGGTGCAAGAGATCTTTAGTATTAAATCTCATGTGAAATAGAAGTGTATGAAAAAAATCTCAAATGAATATAATTGACCTAGTTTTTAGACGTACTGCAGCCGACGGGTAAGAATAAGAAAAGTCGTTCATCATTTGCTAAGATCGGAGTTGATTGCAAGACTCGAGGTGATCACTGAGAAATCAAAAGTTGGCCTTAGTTAAGTTGTATTTTTCTTGAGGCTCGCATTTTCGAATGTGCTGACAGAAACATTTTGTATATAATTAATCCTCTGACATCATATTCGAAGTAAAAGATCAACGGCTAAGTGATCAAAGGCTAAGTGTGAAAGTAAAAGACTAAAAGGCTTAATTACTCTTGATTTGTGATTGTCTCTTGTTCCATCATTATTGCACACAGAAGTCGGCAATTTTTCGTTGAATCATAGATGTTTTTATTAATATGATATTTGTTTTAATAACAAAAAAAGAAAAACACAGTATCAATGGATTTTTAAAATTAAAAAAAATATCTTGAATTTTTAAAAGAATTTTCTTGTTTAATTCTTGTATAAAATTCTTTTTCCGACGAAATTTCTTTTTTTTTTTACATATATAGCAAAAAACAGAACAAAAAAATAAAGTACAATATCAGAAAATCAGAACAACTACTGTACATTATAAAACAAACAAAGGAACGAACGAGAGAGTTAATTTCTTCCTCTCTTCCCATGGACAATTTCATTCTTCGATAGAGCATCTTTTAATTGTATTTGCAATCTGAAAAAAAGAGAAACAAAAATATTTATTTACCTTTGCATATAAAGATGCTCACAGACACCTCTTTTTTCTCGTTTGTATTTGTGATGAGTGAGTTGGTCGTTTATTTTCTTTCGATTTGGATCTGGAACTCTACGAAACAAAGGAACAAAAACAACTTAATAATGCCAAGAACTACAGCCCAGCAAAAAAGCATTGTGAAGGTAAAAGACTAAAACGCTTAATTACTCTTGATTTTTGACTGTCTCTTGTTCCATCATTATTACAAACAGAAGTCGACAGTTTTGGGATATTGTTAACAGTTCCTAGAACTACAGACATAATTAAAGTTCGAAAAATTCGAATTTTAAGAGCAAGCAGAAATATCGAGAGGATCCTGAGTGTTTCACTTCTGTATGATCACAACCTAACTCCTTGATAGGGCAAATATTTGAGATTTTTTTAATGTCCCTTTCAATTTATTTCACCTATATAAAATCGCTGTGAAAGAGAAAGAAGCAGGCTTGAAACTTGAGCTTTGCGGTTATTACCTGATGAGTTGTCGTTGTTTCCATAAAGCTTTAAATCATGTTTTGTTGTTGTTGCTGCTGTCTCAGGTTGCTGTTGCTTTGCTTGGGCATTTTCAATTGTAAATAGATTCAATTTTTGATCATCTCTAAAACAAACGAAACGAATTCGTTTTTGAAAGAATAAAAACGCTTTTATAAATACAGTATTTTGAAAA